AACCGGAAGTGAACCGAGCAGGGGTGAGTACTTATGGGACTACTGTATCAGAGCTATCAATTGCGCTCTGCACTATCTGAGATTGTCTCACTAGTTTGTCCATTCAGTACTTTTCGTTGTTGATCATGTGGTTTGACTTGTTCAATAAAATCTTTCATTTGATTCACCATGTCTAGTTGCGATTATTGATCTAGTCGCGAGTATTGGTCTAGGTTAGGTGAAAGATGCGAGCGTATCGTTAACAAATACGGAAAGGATATAGTCCTTCCTAAAGATCCCGTTGACGATCCCCTGAAAGAAGTCGCTGATGTAAGTAAAAACGTATTTCGTTTCGTGGTCTTATCTTGTGGTTGAAACATCAATCTCAGTCATTCGAGTGCTCTCTGACCATTCGTGAACGTTAACCAGAACTCTGGAGGCAATGTCTTTCAAGACTGGCGGTGCTATGAAGAGTAAAAGGAAAACGAAGAATCCTCATGCGACTCTGTGGACGACCTATTGAGATCCGACCGCAACTGGTAGTTTGGGGGTGTGCGGCTCGTTTCGCACGAGCTCAAAAATTACCCACCGGAAAAGAACGAGAGACAATGGAGCGTGATTTGGGATATACCTTGCACAAACCCCGAAGACGACATTTTCCGACCCTCCCCGTGATAGTGTTTGGCATCGACGAACAATGGGTAGCAGATCTGATCGAAGTGATCAACATTACCAAGTCCAGTCGTGGTTAAAGGTATCTATCGACAGTAGTCGACGTGTTTTCCAAGTACGCCTGGGTGGAGCCCGTCAAGTCCAAGAGTGGACAAGACGTGACGACTGCTTTCGAGAAGATTTTGAAACGAAGTCAAGGTCGCCAACCACAGAATCTTCAAATGGATGACGGCAAAACATTTTACAACAAACACTTCCAAGCCTTGATCAAACGGAAAAATATCCATCATTTCTCTACCAGTTGAGACATCAAAGCCAACGTCGTGAAACGATTCAATCGAACCTTGAAAGAAAGATTGTATCGATATTTTACCATCAAGAATACGTTGACGTTCTTACCCGTGTTGCAGGACTTGGTCTTATAATCGATCGTATCATCGCAGCATCAAGATGGCCCCCGACAAAATAAGAAGTTTAGAACCTTTAAGAAAGGTTACCTACCGGGCAGGACGGAAGAAGTGTTTATAGTATCTAGAGTCATCCCTGGAAATGTGGTCATTTACAAAATCAAAGAGATGGATGACACCTTTGGAAGGTACCTTTTATTCTCAAGACTTACAGAAAATCACCGTATCAGACGACGATTTGTATCGAGTGGAAAAAATGCTGAAACGAAAAGGGAATAAATTGCTTGTACGTTGGAAAGGTTGGTCAGATAAATACGACAGTTGAATTGACAAGAAGGACGTGAAAAAGCTTTGAGGATGAATTAGGAGTTTTACACCACCTTGCCTAGTCACAGCAATCGCGCAGAGTTTCCACAGAACCAAAGCAATAATTTCAAGATTCGATTACCCCACCCCATCAGGTCGCAAGGGTCGAGTTCGAAAGTGGGATTGATTAGCATGTCGTTACCAGATGTGAAAGTGCATCTCCCTAAGTTGGTCGACGGTAACGAAATCCTGTTTACCATGGACTGGATCATGAAATACCCTTCTGGTGCGTTAAAGTTTGTTAGGCCCACTATGATCCGAAAGATCTCCGAACCGTGGTAGAGTACATTGATGGTGTTTCATGAAAAGTATGGTGACATTTTTCGAGCAGCGGCGCATCTTGAATTAACAAGGACCCCATCTCGGTAGCAGCTATACAGCATCCGATGGAAAGAGAATGTACGTGAAATTTCGTTGGGATGGAGACGATCTGCTGACGGATAACAAAGAGACACACGTACGCTCCAATTACTCGCCAGCATTGAAGATTAATAAGATGTTGGCCTTAAAGATGGGATGGTTGAAGGGGAGAAGCCCTGAAAAACTCTTACGTCAAGAGTTTTTTACAGACACGGTACCCAACTTAGAAACGATGACACACGATCAGAAAAACGACAGGGATGAACCTCTGTTTTGGCTGATAGTAAAAGACCCTTTTCATCTGACCGTTACTTGCGATTGGCGCTTCACGAATCTCAACAAAGCCTTTCAAAACGGGGTGGTTTCGACATCACTTTCCTTGTTCATCTATTCCGACGTGGAAGGAAGTTCAATGGTTGGAAATCACGTCACGGATCTATTGCGAGAGGTCAATTATCGACGCACAGGGAATGGAAGTCACCATTTTAAACCGCTACACGTTCAATATATTCCGTTGTGCAAGGCCCAGTTGGACATTATTGAGACGCAAGTGTCGGAGACAACAGGTGAACTGACCGAATTTGGTGAAGGAAAAACGATTCTCACCCTTCACTTCAAACGAACATGAAAGGTGGAAGTTTAACACGATTCAAACCTGACCCACAAGACGGAGGTGGCTTCGTTCAGGAACTGCTGAAAGCAAGTGTTACGGGAGGTCTGAAAGGGTTAAAAAACGATCGCGGCGTTGGAGATCGCATTCGAAAGGCGAAAGAGGGTGCAACACGGAGCGCTAAACAAGCAGTGAAACGTAAAGCTTACGAAGTCCTAGACAGAAATATCAAGCGAAAATTCACAGACATCTTCGGCGACTAATGAATCCCATCTACTCCAGAAGCTCGAGACTCGTCAAATCTAGAAAATGGATGTCAACGTTACGATCTGAAGGGTTTCAACAAACCTCGAAACGTCAACGAAAGGTACAAAAAGGCGGATGGATTGGCCCTGAGGCCAGTAAACCTGTTGGCTACGATTGAGATCTCATCTTAGCGAGAAGACAAAGTAGAAGAAGAAGAAAAAAATGACGGATACCTTGATGGACGGTGGGTTGTTACATCCGGGTTCCAAATCAGTCCTGAATCCTCAACTGAACCTTTTCACCGTTCCACCCACTGATCTCAGCATGTCCAGTTATCGCATCGTACCCATTCAGACCTACACGACAGGCATCAACCCCGTGGAATTTCAAGTGGATCCTCAAGAAGATTACCTGGACCTCAATCGAAGTTTCTTTGAGATTGAGTTGGCACTTAAACTGGCGAGTGGTGATAACGTTGTGGAGGCCACGAGGCTCTGGCCCACGAACAATTTGGCCCACACTTTGTTCAAACAGATCAGTGTGAGACTCAATGGTACCTTGATCAGTCCTAAAACCGACACCTATCATTACAAAGCATACCTGGAAACATTACTCAACTACAACAGAGATGATGGAGAAACCGTGCTAAAACCTCAAGGTTGGTACAATGCCCTGGACTTTCCAACGCCACTGACTGTGAACAACACAAACACGGAAGGAGATGGACATGCAGCTTTCCAAGCATTGTCCTCCAACCAACAAGCTTCAGTGCAACTCATGAAAGCAGAACAAGGCAATTACACGGATGGAAAACGACACGTGCTAAGGTTCACACCCCACATCGAGGTATTCCACTTGAACAAATTAATGGTACCTGGCGTGCAGATTGGAATCCAGATGTACTTCAGGTCTCCCAATTTGTTCTTGAATGGTGTGAATGTAGCTGGCAGACTGACGCACGAAGAGGTCAAAGTGAGAATGTACCTGTGTCAAGTAAGGCTCAACCCCAGCGTCTACCGAGAGTTGATGACGAAAATGAACATCAACAGAACCATAGTGGCTAACCCGACAATAAGAAGGAAAAAAAGGACCTTCAACATGCAGGGAACCAGCAAAGATACGAGTGCAACAATTTATTTCAAGGCCGAATTCCTAACAGTCATCGTTGGACTCGTGCTTTCAGAGGCCTTCAATGGTAATGTGACAGGTGACCCATTCTGTTTTCAAAAGTTTGGCGTGAGTAACATCAGGCAACTGGTGAGAGGAGAAGAATACCCTTACGAGACCCTGGAACTAGTGCACAACGACGGTACCCGAGATCTGAGAGGTTACTATCGGTTCTTACAAGCTACAGGATGTTTGTGCAAACATCAAGGAAATATGGTCAGAAGAGAAGACTGGGGTCAAGGTAAGAATTGCACACTGTTTGTATTTGACAATGCAGCCAACGGATGTTTAGACAGTGCGGTGTTGAACACCAAGCAGTCAGGAGAGTTACAGATCGTGATGAACTTCGGTGTACCACCAGGTAACAACTTCATGGTCATCTTGTACGGAGAGTTTGAGAACCTCTTGGAAATAGACAAGAACAAAGCCGTGTTGTACGACATTTACCAACGCTGATGGAGAAAGTACCCCTGAATAACGTACAACTGGATCATTTGGCGACAGCGGATGCCATCTTGAAATCCTACTTTTACGGGACGGTGGCTTGCGATCGATTACCACGTCGACCGATCAAGAAAGAACCTCGTGGGTACATTATGAACACGGATCCACACGATAGACCAGGCCGACACTGGCTGGCGCTTTGGACCCGTAGTGGGAATGTGTGCGATGTGATGGACAGCTACGCCCTACTTTTGGAGTCTTACGAGACACAAGAGCCCCTGCAAGACTGGTTAAAAAGTCAATGGAAATATGTGATTTACAACGAAGAGTCTCTGCAATCGATTTACAGTAAACGTTGTGGCAATTACGCCTTGTTCTATTTAAAAGACAGAGCGAGAGGTCAAAGCATGAACGACTTCTTGAGGCGTTTCTCGAAACATGATTATGTAGACAATGATCACAAAGTAGGCCAGATGTTAGAAAAGTTGATCGAGAAAGAGTTAGAATGGGATAAAGTGTATAAAGTGAAACATCACCAAGACACTTCTCGTTGCGGTGTGAGACATTTAGTGTAATGATTGTTGGTTTGACATTACAATACGATTGAAAACGTGTTCTTTGTGATGATCTTGTAGTACAATGGTTAGTGTCCTCGACTGTCACTTGATTCCCCGCAGGGTCAATTTTTTCATGTGTTAACAAAAGCTGCATACCCATGCCCCTTTGGTCATTTGGACTCACGGAACGACGCGAGTCTTTTCGATTTCAAACCCCTTCCAGTCTGTTGGTGGTGGGTTCTTCAGGGTGTGGCAAGACGGGGTTCACCACCAAACTTTTACTGAACAACCTCGCTTTGTTTCATACCCCACCCTCCCAAATACGTTATTGCTACAGGGGGTGGCAAGACGGGTTTCAACCCATGAAAGAACAGGGGATCAAGTTTCACGAAGGCGTTCCCGACACAGATCAATTGAAAACGTGCTTTCCTAAAGGTAGATTACTCGTGTTAGACAATCTAATGGCTAAAGGAGGAAACGGTAAACGGGTGTTGGATCTGTTCACCAAACATTCTCACCATCAGAACGTCACAGTGTTCTACTTGTGCCAAGACATGTTTCCGCCAGGGAAATATGCCAAGGGTATTTCCAGAAACGTCCACTACATCGTTGCATTCAAGAATCCACGAGATCAATTAGGCATGAGAAATTTACTGCTACAGGCGTTTCCCACCCAGTGGCAAGTTTTACAAGACACGTTTCAAAGTTTGACAGAACGTCCGTTTGGGTACATGGTCTTGGATCTACATCCTGGCAGTTTGGACGATCAAAGGATTCTCAGCCA